GAACAATAAGGTGTTTGAGGCGCCTTCATATTCCTTTTTCCAGATTATGGTTATTAGTTTTAGAAGTGGCAAACGTTTTTCGGCACCGTGCTGCGTATGTCTGTACCACAGTTATTCTATAAAGCTGCATACATTTCAAAGCTTGACCTCTCATTCAGCCTCATTTCTCTTCTGTGAATTTGTTCCTTTGCTTGAGCAGTCATCTGATGCACACGGTTTGCAGTTACTTTGATCTCTGTTAGGGTCTAAGGGAATTACGTGAGGTAGAATCAAGTACCTTGGAATGACATCCTTTGAAGCCACACATGAAAACATAGGTAGATTCGTTGACAACGGATATGCCTCTGCTCGATATCTCTAAAGGAGCTTAGCATAATAGAAACCAAAACTTGAAGGAATTGCTAATCGGATTTGCAGTTCTTACAGTGTAGTTTTTAAACCTTTTGCTGATGCTACTCGTGAGTAGCGGGATTTTACTTTAAGTTTTTTAAGTTTTTAACAGTATTTGTTCACGTGAAATGTTGCACAGCTTAGTGGTCATGGATTCGATCCCTCTTAGGGGACCGATATAATGAGAAACAAAGACGATCCGTTTCCTGACCAACCTCGTCTTGCAATTTTTTAGACTAGGCTGTGCTATGAGCTACTGGAAAGAGAACCTCATCAAAATCATAACTAAATTCCTACTACTCTCGGGCCTTATAAAATAACTCGCCTCTCCTGTTTTCAAATGTTATGCATAGAGTGTTTAGCGAGATGCCGTCATCAACTCACAGGCTAGCCACTGTCAGTGACAGTGAAAGACAAGTTATGCCATCCACGGTTTAGATTACAAAGTATGTAGCTTAGCAAACTTCCCTCATCTTTCAGTGGATCTGGCTGCTACCTAGTTTTCAGCCGCCTCTAGCGGTATTGGGTTCGATCCCCAGTAGGAGATAAAGGCGTAGCACTGACTAGCCTCAATAGAGTGAAACGCATCTCGTTCTATTCCGGGCTAGTCTGTGCTGTAGCTTGCGTGCTACTTTGATGAAAATGTCAACAAATGTCGCTAATAGTTTGTAACCCACGATGGACTAGTCAATTCTATTCAAAGCAAAATAGGCTTAAGGCACAAAAGTAGATATATTTTCCAGTATTTTTACTATCATTGAGACTGAAACAACATATGTTATAAAATAGACAGCCATATATAAATTGTGTAATGCAAAATCTTGCCGAGGACTTTGTTATTTTTAATAGATTCCTTGAAGCCTAGTTTGGGGAATGCTGGTGTAAATAACCTATGGCACATGGAAAAATGTTATATAGCTGCAATATGCTGTCACTGTGCAGGAATTACCCATCTGCTTCCGCCAACATGACCGATCCACTTAGGATGGCACGGTAGACTTTTTTCGTTTCCTCGTTCTTTATACTCATCATTCAGTATTCCACAAGTAAACAACTACCCATCATGCACACGAGTTTCGTTAAGTCCAAAAATACAAACTCCAGTGAAGAAAACTCATGATAAACCTGCACCTGCCCCGAGGGCTGATGCAAATGAGCCTTTATTCTTTACAGTAAAGTTGAACGCATCAACAGTTGCGCAAGTGGGCGATGCAAAATGTCCAGTTGAAGGAAGTTTATATCGCTAGTGGTAGCGACGCAGCTGTGTCAGGAAAGTAGGATCTATGTTAAACATCATATAACTAGGTAAATATCATGAGTGGATAAACAACGGACATGTACAACGGGCATGAAACTAAGCTCATTGGAACTTTATAACTGGTCACAACCAAACATCTAGGACTTGCATCTGCATGTGATTTGCCGACTCGCGATCCATTTAACCATGGATAAGACCACGTACATCTTGCGGACTAACCGCAGTCGAAGCGAGAATAATTGCCCAGAAAACAGCGTCGCATTGTTATGCAATTAGGACAGAGTTGCTGTTATGTGCAGTGAATCAACTCATATATATTTCATATGTGAATGTGCGTCAACGGATGAAATGCTGGTTGTTAACTTCGTTACCTATTCCATTCGGTGTGTGACTGTTTGTTTTGATACTATATGAAACTGTCCCCTTATAACCTGACCGACTATCATTGCGCGTCTCGAATGGTGTCTTAAATTATTTTGCTTTCCATTGGGACTTCTTTATTTAGCCATCCATATGGTTTACCATGTTACAACTGTACCTTGCAATGTGCAATTATTAATGACAGAGATTTGTTGCTGTATGCTTTGATTGATTAAATAAAACCGTTGGCTGCGCAGCTCATTAAAAACCATGGGTATTCAGATTAACTCTGAGTAGCCGAAAAGCACTTGACGTAGAGTTGCACATTCAAGATGGAAATATTTAGGGCATTCGGATACGTGCAATTATTATCTCGACAGGTTTGAGCACGTGACCGTGAACAATTTACCCCAGCTGATATGCCGATTATGATAGTGATTTCACGTAAAAATTAGATTTGTTGTTGATGAGCCTCGAGAATCCATGGAAATGTAAGTGGTTATGATTAATTAAAGGTATTTATGCCTAGGGTGTCGGACATTACTCAACAGCGTCCTCCAAGCAAGCACATTCCATCAAAATCCTTTTGAAAAAAATTAAACCAATCACCCAACTAAGCTCACTACCTCTACTCCCAACAACTCAGTAATTATTGTTTGAACAATATGAAAGCTGTACTTGCCCACACTCATCAGGTTCTATGTTGCCGCTGCAGTCGTGAGACATACATGTGTGAATCCTAGATGTGAGAAAATCATTGCCAACCGGTGCGTCATCTGTTAAAATATCCATTTGGTTGCTTCAGCTAATCGAGCTTATATGTCGTAGCGCTTGATATTTGGTGTTGCATCGGTAGCATCCACTGAATATTTTGTAAAACAATTATATTCGAAGAGTGGGGCTACATGATTGCTGAGGCGAAACAGAACGACGAAGAGTACCAATTTGACATTTCGTTCTATTTTGCTACTTATCCGATCCAGTATTGACGACCAATAGGTTTCTCGGAATCTGTTTAAGGTGTTGATTTAACCAAATATCGGAATACATGAGCAAACTCTAGTAGTTTCGACTTAAGTTTTCGCAGCGTAAGTGATAAAATGTCTAGTAATATTAAGGTGGATGTTAGTCATGTTTTCCCCCACAGAGGAATAGGTTGCTCAGTTGGTAGAGCAGCGGACCGGTAATCCATAAGTCCGGGGTTCCATTCCCCGTATAGGCAGATTATTGCGCAAAAGTTGATCATTGATTCTAATTTTTAAAACAGTTACACTGCTCAAATACCACCAAGAATCTAAGATTGCTCGAACTCAAATGTTGAGACCAAAGGCAGTACAAGGTTGTGGTTTCCTTTGAGCGTGTCTCAGTTTAGAAACGTCGTTTAAGCAAAAGCTCTAACATATAGCTTTGTGTCTCGACATGACTCATTTCACATTCCAGTCTAGAATGTACACTCATGAACAGGGTCTGACCATGGGATCTCCAACATCCCCCGTATTAGCTAATATGTACATGGAAGTGTTTGAAAAGAAAGCATTACCCAATTTCCGTGGTGCCCTGAAAGTATGATGGCGCTATGTAGATGACACTTTTGCGATTATAAAAAGAGATAAAAAGAAGAATTTTTAAACTATTTGAACTCTATTGCCAATTCGATAAAGTTCACCATGGACCTTGAGTCGCAGAGTGGTAAACTTCCGTTCCTTGATTGTCTGGTACATAGGAAGGAACGTTAAGTACAATGATGTATGGCAAATCAATGGACACAGATGGGGTACTCAGCTATAGTTCCAGCCATCCAAAGCATGTGTACGCGGGAATCGCCTCATCACTATTTCACAGAGCAAGTGCTCTGTGCACGGAGCAAAGGGATAAGAAAGCAGCGCAGAGGGAAGCGATGAAAAACTTAATAGCTAGCGGATACTCAAAACGATTGGTGAAACGAAAGCTACAGAAATGTCTCAACCTACGCGCGAGTCCAACCACAGAGTGGATAGCGACAGTGGGTATTCCGTATAAAGAAGGAACTTCGGAAGCGATTCGGAGAGTACTGAAACAAGAGAAGATAAGGGTAGTTTTCCAGAAGGATCAACGCTACGGTCCACACTTGTGTACCTGAAGGATACATTCCATTTAGATAGAACAACTAACTGTATTTAGAAAATTCCATGTAAAGGCGCCACGTTAGTTATAAAATTATGGTGCATTTCCAAGTTGCAACCCTTTTCATGACTGGCTAACTACACATTATAAAGAGTACGTTAACCCAATATAATGGAACAATTGCATTCATAAGGTCATAGAAAAGAATGTTCAGCAGTGCCACCACTGCTCAGTGCCAAGGGCTTATATAGTGATTCACTGGTAAACACCCGGGAGCTGCGCGAAGACTTTTGCAATCCGAATTGAGAATGTGTACATATCGCATAGAAACATGTCCAACGTTCTCAGAAGCACCGGCTCGTGAATGCTGAGTGCATTAATTTGTGTAGTTCAAAAGAAAAGCACGAAAAAGCCCTGAAAATCGTGAACTACAATGCGATCTACACATATGCAAAAGCAACATGTGAAACGGCAATCTTATTGATGGATCATAATTGGTATGCCCATATGGTATTCTTAAGCAAATATGCCTGTTGGCTGTCAGTGTGCCAGCAACGAACCTAAAGAGTATCTGATACTTAAGGATGTTGGTCCAGTGCAACACGAATAAAAAGCGATGTTAGTCGCAATAGCTCACCTAAGAGTCGAAACGGCCGTGTGACGTTATTCCGTGGAATAAATTAAGGTAAAATCATAAGGGGTAATTTGTTAGGGAGGAAAGTAGAGAATAAGAGACAGAACTCAACAAAATGCTACCATCCAGAGATGAGCTGAAACACAGGATTTACATTATGTATGGGCAGTTTACGTCACCGTTGTTGTAGCTACAAAATTAAGAGTTAGTATAAAATTGACCTAAAAGAATATATCCTTACACATAATGTTATACATGGAATTGACTGCAAGTGTATCCGTGGAAATTGTTTGCATTCTAGCAGTAACAACAGTCGGACCTAAGAAGGAATCGGAAACTGGGGCAAAAGCCACTGAGGCCGCAACAATTCCAGTTGGTGAGTTCCTGCATATATATAATCAAACAAATTTTGTGTAATAAAATAATTGAAATATTGAAATATTGTGTATTAAATTGGAGAGATCACCCTATCCAAAAGACAAACACAATGTTTTGTCTGCTCTTAATGAAATGTTAGCTCAAGAAAGTGCAACAGATGGCATGAAATAAACTTGTTGGAAAAAAGAGATAATCTTTGAATCATACTAACGATACCGCCTTGGGCTCTGTTTGGATACAAAATAGTTTGAGTAAGCGATGACCGAAAATAAATATGTGGATTCATGGTCATCGGCTGTCCAAAATTGTCATTTGTCTGAGTCACTTTGTTTTGGCATTCGCAAGATAAAGTTTTCGCGTGGAAATTTTGTGAAACGCCCAACGTGGAGCGCCCAGTGATGGCACATATGGAGACAGATTGGTTGAAAATAAATCTAGATCTACGGTGTTTTCAAAAGCTAATAATTTTAGACAGAAAAGCAGCATGGATTCATAAGTGTAATAATCGAATGCCAAATAATGCGAGAATCAAATTAATAGTTTATGACCGAGGGTTGATTGAAAAATCTGGCTTTCATTCTAATTATGTTCATTATAAATGGTTTTAGTACACATTTGGTAGTGTCGTAGGTATGTTCGTTTTTTAGGGTTTGATGCATGAGCACATTCGGAGGGAACGGTTTGGGTATCCATTGTGTTTGAATTAATTTTACAGGTGCATTGTTACTGCTCGTTTTGGATTAATCGTCTCTGTTGTGTTGTTATTCTTTTTAACTTTATCTTCTAACCGTATATTTTGTGAAATCCAGGCTGGCTGCTGAAGATACTCAATGTAGGATAGGTATGCTTTTCTTTTAAGATGATGTTTATAATTACCCATGTTACAAACACATCCAAGAATTGAGGTTTTTAATTCTTCTACTCAATTGTATACAACATTTGCATGACTATCTCCGCAATGCATATGGAAACACAGCAATTTGCCCCCTACACATGTTTAGAAATTGTTCCGTTGAAGGAAGACAACTTGTGAGATTTCAGGGGAGAAGTTCGCATGCGCTTCTGTTCGTCGTGTTTCCCCTAATCTGTCCACCAATGTCCAGCCCTTCTAAGATAATTTATTTTCCTAGCTGCAATTTGCCGGATGCAAATAATGTGTTTATAATGAAGGACACAAACGTTCCATCGTCGTCTATTCGTTTTTATTTGAGATTGGTCACGAACTGCGGGACAAGGTTTATGAGGGGTTGCATTCAGAAAAATAAGTTGTTTGAGGCTCATCCATAGCTTTTTACTAGATTATAGTTTGGTGCCCTGGAGTTGAAAATATTGATCGTTACTGTGCTCAGTAATATTGCACTATTGGTAATCCACGAATTACATAACGTTCAAATCTGAACCTCTCATTTTGTCTTGTTTTTCAGTCGCGAATTTGATCGGTTGTTTGAGCAGTTACCTGATGCATACGATTTCCAGTTGTTGTGTTATGTCATTATAGAGGCAAATCGGATCTGAGGAAATTACATGTGGTGCAATGTTGTAAATTTGGATGACATCCAATAAAGTTAAACGCGAATACATAGGTAGATACGATATCAATCTTATGCCTCTGCTTGGTGTCTCTAAACGAGCTTGGCATTATGAAAGTTAAAAACGGGAATGACGCGGTAATCAACGTAACAGTGCTTCTTTTAAGCTGTTTTGTACATAAACTTTGCGAATTGTTTGCCACTCATAATGCTCAAGTCAATCCATTTCAAATCACAACCATCTTTATTCACATACGTATTTACAATTAGTTTTTCACCATCAAGGCGGATGGAGAATTATCGGAGATTTAATGTGCAACATTAGGTAAATTGTCTAATGCAAGAACTTGCCGGAGACAATGTCGGAATTTAATGGGTACCTTGGCGTTTAGTTGATGGACTGCTGGTATGAGGTTATCGCACTGAATAAGATGTTGCGCAGCCGCAATATACTATGACTTTGCAGGATTCCATGAACTGATTCCGCGCATTTGCCCGATCCATCTACGATTGCGCAACACACATTTTTATCTCTTCGCTCTTTAGGTTTATTATTCAGTTTCACACAAGTAAACAACTGTGCAACAAGCTGATGAGTATCGTTGAGTGCAGCAATAAAATTCCAGTAAAGAATACTGACGGAAAAGCTGTAGCCGCCTCGATGGCTGATGCAAATTAAAGTTTATGGTTTACAAAACGTTGTCTTGTATTTTAGTTTGCGCAACTGGGAGCTGCGAAATGTCCACGTAAAACAGGTTGAATGCAGCAATGATAAGAACGCAGCTGTGTCAGAGACGTAGCATTCTTATCAGAGTTGATGTTCCGAGTTGAACAATACCCTGATTGAGTAAACAACGGCCATAGACAACGGCCGCGAAACCGAACTCATCAAAATTCCATATCTGGTCTCAATAATGCATTTAGGACTTGCTTCTTCATGTTATTTGCTGGCTCCCATTAGTTTGTTATGGATGTGAGCCACCTGGCTTTTGTGGACTAACGCGACAGAATCGAGAATATTTGCTGTGAACAGCCTTGCATTGTTGTATTGAATGATGGATTTTCCGTTATGTACATGCATGGAATCAACTATAATCCATATTTGAATGTGTGCAAAGAGATGAATTGCAAGTTACTGGTTCTTTTACCTATTCCATTTAGTGTGTGCTTGTTTGGTTATATAATAAATAAAGCACCCCCTTGTAATTTGTCCGAGTGTTATTACGCGTCTCTTATAATTTTTAGATTATTTTACTTTCCATTTTGACTGATTTAATCGGCCGTCCATTAGGCATACCATTTTGCAACACTATCTTCCATTTTGAAGTGCTAAATTTCACAGAGTTTATTGCCATTTGCTTTAGTTGAAAAACTTATAATTTTGGCTGTGCAGTTTATGTACACTCTAGGGAGTTTGATTTAACGCTGAGTTGCCTAAAAGCAATTGACGTAGGGCTGCACATGCAGGATAGATATATGTATGGCAGTCTGGCACCTGAAATTATCATTTTGACCGGTTTGACTACATGACACATGAAAACTTTAGCTCAGCTGCCCTGCCGATTGCGCTCGTGATTTCATGTAAATTTAGGTTCGCTGTTGATGCGCCTGAGAATCCATCGAAGTGCAAGTGAGTATGACTAATTAGAAATATAAATGCATATAATGTTTGGGTTTCAATCAACAGCTACCTTCGATAAAGCACATTTCGGTAAGAGATGTTTAAGCGAATTGAACCAAACGCCTAACTAAGCTCTCTCCCTCAGCCGCTAAAATCTTCGGATGGATGATTACATCAACATGAAAGCGACTTTTTGGTACAACTACGGCCTGAAACATATGTGATCAATAAGGTATGCGACTGTATGTGACTGGGTTCCAATGCACAGGCCGAATATTTAGCACCGTTATGCAAGCGCAGTGTAACTGCTGCCACCTTCATGGTTTACTTTTGTCCGTCCGCTGATAAAAGAGTAGGAATACCTCGTTTTGGCTTAAGTAATATTTTTAATTTTGATAGAGAAACTTCGGGTTTGTGACATAGCCATTGCAATTTTCTGCTGTTACAACAACGTTTCCTCGCAAACAAGCTCATTATAATGGGTATGTTAAGACCATCCATTAATCTAGATCTCGTAGCTCAGAGAGAATTTGTAGACGTCTGACGGAGTTGTGCATCTCCATACACTGGTGCTTTCTGCTTCACAAAAACAGGGGTAGGTTTCTTGGGTAAAAGTCCAAGTCATTGATGCATCAGCAACCGTATATTTAATTGCATGACGAAGTATTCCCATGCGCCGAACGGTGCGTTGCATGCAACAAGAATTCGTTTGTTGCCCCACTTATTCGACCTAATATGGCGTAGCATTTAATCTTTCGTGTTTCATCAGCATTATCTACCGCAGAATCCGCATGACAATTTTATTAAGTGCGTAAGACAACATCATTGCTGCGGCGAATGAGGATGATCTGGGGTAAACATCTGACCTTGAATTCTACGTTGGTGAATATCGGATCCAGTATTGATAAATGAAATGTTTCTCGGAATCTAGATGGAGTGCTTACATGGCCATATATCGGAATCTCTTGACATACTTTTGAAGTTGCTCCTTAAGTTTCCATTGCGCAAATGCTGACAAGTCCACTAATATTAATATAGCTGTTATTCATGTTTATCCCTCGTCGTGTATGATACGAATACAGCACCCAGGCGAATCCACCGTCATGCTGGCCGGAACAGCCACCGGCTTGCGTTTGACGTCAATAGGGAATCACAAAGCCACTTTACCATCTTTGCTGCGTAAGTCATTTCGAACACTGGACATACCTGGCAGTGCGATTTGGATGTTAATTAGGTTGGGGCATAACCCTCACTAATTTATAACGATGAAATCACAGGTATTTTATCCACGACCAAACTGCGTTTCTGAAAGATTTGCAGTAACACTTCAGCGCCAGTTTAATCCGGGAATGCAAAATTTGTCCCAAAAAGCTCTTCACTTGGAAAATATAGCAAGAGTGGATGTTTGCCTAACGATACAATCAAGATATATAATTGCATGCTGGACGAATTGCTAGCAGCTGCGGTGGTATATCCAAAGAATGTGTGTTGCGTAATATCTGCAAGCAGCAAGTTACTTTCACGGTCAACAAATGTGATCACACTGAAATTTACAGTGTACTTGTATCACTGCCACCAAATGGTTTCGACACTGGTCTACATGCAGTTTCCTTAATTATGTCGTTCCTAGCACCATGAGCTTCACGGGTAGAACACGATACTTTCAGGTCATTAACATGGTGCTGGTTATTGAAAGATGACGGTAGCTCTGGCCAGCCATGGACTGGAATGAATTTTCTGATGTTCTCGAAGTAATTCTCATCTAACTGGTACTGTCTCTTTGGTTTTATTCCAAGGAAACACCCGAGATATGCGTATCCTCTTGTCTGCATTCCGTATGCAGTACGT